GGTCGCCATCTTAGAGACGGGCACGGCGACGCGGGGAGGCTGTCCTGCGCCGGCGGAGGGCGGCGTGTTGCCGTGTGTCACCCTGTGCAAGCGTGCGGTGGGAGGGGACCTCCCCATCCTATCCCGGCTTATTAATTCATAGTGCGAGTCCTTGCGCAGTAGCCAAAAGCACAAGCTCAAAGAGACCTCGGAGTCATTTCTGGGCAAAATTAGTGGGTGAAGCAGCCTGTGGTGTCCGCCCAGCTTCTCCTCGTGCCTTTCTTTTTTTCTTCTTCTGCTGGGGGCAACTCTTATCTGTGCCGTCCTCGAAACCCTATGCGGTGACTTTCCCTCAGCTGGATGAGGTCTCCCTGAGGGAGGCAGACATTTAGGTGAGGGGAACTTTTAAAGGCGGTAAGCGCCCTTTGCTGTCGTCTCTGGCATCGTGGTAGGGGGACTTTTTGCTCATTGGGAGGCGAGCGCTCTCCACTGCACTCACCGCGGGCCCAGCCCTTTGCTTCTGACTGCAAAACGTACCCTGTCTCCTTCTGCCTGGCAGCTGTCACCATGCGAATCGGGACAGCCTCGGCAAAAGCTCTGTAATGAAACTGTTTCCCCTGAGCCTTTAAGTAAACCCCAGTTTCATCAGATGAATCTGCGCAGCTGAGGAAAGGGCGTGTTCACAGAAGGGGGGTGATCTGAATGGAATCTAGAAAGCGGGGAGCTAAAGAACGAGCACGGAACCTGGATCTCCAGCCCTCCTTCGGGGTATAGGAGAGGGAAAAATCTTCCCTTCTAGGTTCACCAATGGGGCCCCTGTAACAAAGCACCGATTAACAGGAAGGAAAAACAGCAGACGATTAGTAACATGTACGTTTCACATATAAATGGGAGAAATTGAAGGAAGAGTAACTGGAAGAGGGGTGTTAGAATTCTGGTTAATCTAGAATTTTTAAGAAAGAACAATAAGTTTGTAGAGAAATGACAGGACTAAAGGAAAGCAGTTTCAGGCTCCCAATGGCAGCAAACTGGGAAAGTAAAGATATGGGAAACTAATGGTAGATACAGATGAGTGAGTAAAGTTTGTTATGTAGATTCTCCTGGTGCAATGTCTGGGCTGATAACAGTTAAAGTTATCTCTGGTGTTGATCTTTTGTTCTTCCTGGTAAAGAGGAGGAACACCTTTGAAAATGTATGTTCTCTAAGGCAAATAACAGGAGGGCAGACAGCTTCTCAATTTCTTTCAGTTCAAAATAATCCTTAGGCCAAAGTGGCATATTTTGGGGTGACATTCTGGTTTACTTCAGGGCAAAAGAGCACAATTCTGATTTATCATTGTGAGCCAATCAATTGGCATACTAGATTATACATCTGGTTCTTCCAAGTTTGATTGAGCTGAGAAAACTGTTTCATGTCGGAGGCATTGCCACCACCACACTAATTCATTCATTTAGTAGAGAGGATTGCCAAGTATCTGATATTGAGTGGGAAAATCCCATATTTTAGCCTCGTGGCCAGTAATATGCATATTAAAGTTATGACATGAAAATGTCTGATTTTAAATCATAAAATTTCAGATTTGCAACATGATACCAATTCAGCAGTGACGAGTATAGCCACTTTTACCCTTTTAGCCCTTCTTTTACCCTTCTGAGTTCTTGGCTCAATCCTCTGTAACATAAAAGACAGATTAACAAGAGAAAAGCATACAAATTTATTTAGTGTAAGTTTTACATGACATGGGATCCTTCATAAGGAAATGAAGACCTTAAGAAACAGTTAACTCCGAGTTTTTATGCTTGGTTTGATGAAGAATGGACAGTCATATGGATTGAATTGCGTCTCCCAAGTTTTATGTATTAAAGTTTAATCCCCATTGTAATTCTGAGAGTGGTAAATCCTATTATGGTAATTGAAAGGTGGGGCCTTTAGAGGTGATTAGATTCTAAGGACCATGCCCTAAAGAATGGATTAATAATGGTGGTCATGGGCATGGATGTGAGGGTTTTAAAACAAGAGCGCATGAGTCTCTCTCTCTCTCTGCTTCTGCCATCTCACAATGTGATACCTTGTTTCACTGAAGCCACCACCAAGGAAGGTTTTCACCAGATATGTTCAGTGGGGTTTGGACTTCCCAGCCTCAGAAACTGTAAGCAATAAATTTTGTTTTCTTATAAATTACCCAGCTCCATGTATTTTGTTATAAGCAACAGAAACAGACTAAGATGAAACGTTTGTCCCTAAACTGCTCTGAGCCTTCGTGCTGGCTTGGATGGCAAGAACTAGAGCAGCCTTGGAAGCCCTATGTTGAAGACAAAAAGCTGGTCACAGACATCTACTGTTGTGTGAGTGAGAAATGAACTTCTATTTTGTTTGAGCCATTCCATTTTGGGGTCTTTTTGTTATAATAGCTTGCAGTCCCCTCCTATACCTGTGGTGGATAGCATGGTTCTGGAATCCCATGTGGGAAGACTTTCTTAGTTTATTCTTTTATTTTGGGAGGGCACTTCTTCCAACTGCTTTCATAGAAAATGTTCTTGAGAGGATATTTTGGGAACTGAATTCCTTTTCATTTGATTGGTTTTTATCCTTCTGGAACTTTTAAGATCTGTTTGTTTCCAGTGCTCTGGTATGGATCTATTTTCAACTGTTGTGCTAGGTACTCACCCCTTTCAACCTGAAAACTTGTATTCTTCATTTCTAGGTATAAAAAACATTTTTTTTCTTTGATAGTTCCCTCTCCTGCATTTTCTGTCTCTATTCTTACTAGAACTCTTAATATTCAGACATTGGATTTCCTTGGCTGATACTCTAGTTATGTTTTTTTTGTTTTCTCCTAGCTTCCCTCTGTTTGTATTTTTGCTTTACTCTTTTTGGGACATTTCCTCATATTTATTTTCCTTGTACTGAGTTTTAACTTTCTGTTATCTTTCTTTCTTGTTCCCTGAATATTTCTTTTTTTTTTTTTTTTTTTTTCATTTTTAAAATAGTATCCTGATTTTGTTGTTTGGTTGCAAATCTTCTTCTCCCTCTGAGAATATTATTGACAGATTTTTAAAGGTTTTTTTCTTCCTGCTATAGTCTGAATTTGTGTTCCCCCAAAATTCGTATGTTGAAATCCTAACCCTGAAGGTGATAGTATTAGGAGGTGGGGCCTTTGGGAGGTGATTACATTATGAGAGTGGAACCCTCACAAATGGGATTTGTGCCCTTATAAAAGAGGCCTGAGAACCCCTTCCACCACATGAGGACACAGTGGAAAGATTCTGTGAGCCAGGAAACAGGTCCTCAACGGATACTACATCTGCCGGCAAATTCATCTTGAACTTCCCAGCCTCTAGAACTGTGAGGAATAAATTTCTGTTGTTTATAGGCCACCCAGTTTAGTTATTTTTATTATAATAGCCCACGCGGACTAAGACACTTCCTATGTGGGTTCTGTTTCCTCTAAGTTGCCATTTCCTGTTCCTTTTGTTTGTCTTGTTCTAGTCTCTTTCATTTTAACGGATTTTCTCAACTGTATAATCTTTGGTTCTCTGCTCATATTTAAAGTGTGAGGACTTAAAAGGTGATTGGGAGTTCACAGCATATAAGGGCTTGTTGATTGTGAGCTTAATTTTGGGGTGATCTGGCTGGGCTGTCTTACTGGGGAACGATGATTTCAGTATCTGCTATAGTCTGAAGATTTACGTCCTCCCAAAATTCGTGTGTTGAAATCTCAGACAGTATCTGTAGATCTTTTGTTCCCACACCCCGGAGAAGCCTCCTCCAATCTCCTGCCTAGAGGTTGAAGACCTGGCTGCTAGTGTTCATGGAACTCAGTGGAGAAATTGAGCTGGGGTTGAAAGAGAGATCGCCTTGTTATTCAGTATGCACATATTTGCTTAATTTTCCTTCTGTTTTACTCTCTCCAGGGGGGGAAACTTACACAGTCTTTTTCCTGGAAGGGGAATGGCCAATACTTCAGCAGCTCAGAGTCGGGAAGGGGACCTACTTTCTTAAACAATTTCGACCTCTCTCTCCTTTCACTGCCACTTCCAGAAGTGCCTGAGGCCATTGAGTCATAAACCTTTTAGTGATTCTGTGCTGTAAATCAAGTTTTTATTCTTCTTCTTTTTTTTTTCCTTTTTGTCTTTTTTCGTGACCGGCAACGGGATCGCAACCCTCGGTGTCGCGCCCGCACTGCACCCAACCAGTGAGCGGACCGGTCTCTATATGGGATCCGAACCCTTGGTGGGAGCGCCGCACTCTACCGAGTGCGCCACCGGGCCGGCCCTCAAGTTTTTATTCTTAACCTGTAAAACCCTACACCAATTGGCCTCTTTCTACTTTTCATCCTTATCTCCCAACTTTTTCCCAGCTACTCCCTGGGCTCCAGCCATACTATAACCTCTGTGTTATGGGTTAAATGTGTCCTCCAAAGCTCGTGTATTGGAAACTTGATTTCCATTACAATAGTGTTAAGAGAGTGGGAAATCCAATTACAGTATTTGAAAGGTGGAGCCTATAAAAGGTGATTAGATTATGAGGACTGTGCCCTTGTGGACAGATTGATCCATTCACAGAGTAACAGGTATGGTTCTGATGGTTTTATAAGGGGAGAGCCTGAGAAAGTTAGCTCTCTCTTGCTCAGCCCATTCTCGCCATGTGATACCCTGGTTGCCATGGTACTCTGCACCAAGAAGAAAGCCCTCACCAGATGTTCCCCCTGGCCTGTGGACTTACCAGCCTTCAAAACTATAAGAAATAAATTCTGTTTCTTTATAAATTAACCAGTTTAAGGTATTCTCTTATAAGCAACAGAAATGGATTAATACCCTCTGTTTCTCTTAAAACCCAAATGTGGCATCTTAGGGGTTCCTACATACTGTTCCTTTATATGAAATTGTCTTTTACTACTTCCTCCAACCCCTTCCTTCCCCAAACTTTTCCAGTTAACTTCTACTCATTGTCTTTCAGGTCTCAACGTTAATTTTTCTGCTTCGGGGAAGCCTTTCATGTCACTCTAGACTAGACAGTACCTTTGTTGATGGTCTGGTTATTGAAATATTTGCTCTCTGTCCCCATGGAAGGGTTATACCTCTCACCCTGGATGGTGTCAATGTTCTGTGTAACACACTTCGGGAAATTCTGCATTATAACTTTCATCACATTTCATTTCATTGATATTATTATGTGTTTAGTTGTCTGTATTCCCAACCAAAGTATCAGCTCCAAGAATGAAGGGTCCTGGGTCTATCTTATATACCACTGTACCCCTGGTGTTTAGTACACTGCCTTGCCCACTCAAAATAATGACAAAGATTCTCTCTTTGACCAGACCATGGCTCCTACCAGCTTAAGGCCATGTGTCTAGGATGACCCCAGACCCCCTTAAAATGCCTGCCTGTGAAAGTGCGACACTGCCAGGAAAATTTACTGTTTGTTCCAGCCCAAACCTGGTGATAGGCAGATAAGCCCCTAAACCCTCTATTAGAGCAGTTACTTTAGAGAGCTTGTAATTATAAATCCTCCTTCTGCCCCTTCTAGATGTAAATCTTCTATCACCTAGAACTGTCTTCTCACGGACCTGAGAGTAGCCTCTTTGAGATGCAAACATTCAAGGAGATAGTTCTCACCCTCATTCCCAGTCCCTTTGGGTGCCTTGCTCTAAATTACACCACTGCCTGCCTTAAAGACATGAGAATTACATGTCTCTACTGGATAAGCACCAATTAACAAACCCAGCTGGCCCAGTCATGTGGACCAAGCAACCATTCACACCCCTTAGTGCCTTTCCCTTAGCCCACCCCAGCCTTTAAAAAGTCTCCAATCTGCTGTTTCAGAAAGTTGAGTTCAGTTCATGCTGGACCCTCTTCCCTATTGCAATAGTTCTGACTAAAATAAAATCTATCTTACTGCCTTTACTAGTGTCAGGCTTTTTATATCTTTGAGCACATTAAGTAGTTACTGAATTAATTAATAAATTTATGTTCCATATACGTGTAAACAGCTAGGAGTGGGGAGTGAATTTCATTATTTCTAGGCTTCTTTTGGGGTCTCACCTCTCCCACCCTCCAAGAAGCTGAAAGATTGCTTATGTTATTTTTTTTTTTCGTAATCTCTAACTATGAAAGATGACAATTATATCCAATTTATCTACAGTGTATTTTGGATTGAACTAGTCAGATGACTGTGGATACATATAGAAAACTATTTAAAAAGTCACATCCCTAAGTTTCGATCCTCTGAGTTCTTTTTTACACATTTTCCCCCCCTATGGCCTACAAACTTCAAAAGTTCTATTTCTATTTCTAGGCCAACGACAAGAGCCCAGTTTAGTCCAGAAAGACAAGTGCCAGAGTAGGTGAGCTTGGCTTGGCCCTGGCTGAGTACTGCCCACACCAGCTCTTCCTCCCTCCCTCCGTCTGCGAGCACTGTGCTACTCGCTCCTGTGGGTTTCCGCTGTCCCTCCAAAATCTTTGCCAGTTTCACTATCCCGGTGGTACTCTCAGGAAGCCCAGAGCGCCCCCAGCAATACGAGACTCTGAGACTCCATTCAAGCCCTGATCCGGACGCCGCAGCGGCAACTTCCCCATGCGCCCGCCCAGCCTCTGCCCTCGGTCTCCAGCCGTGCCCGCGCAACTGCAGAGGCGACACGTGCTAGGCTCGGGCGTGAAGTCGGCGTCGCCATGTTGATTTCTGGCGGCGCGCGCCGGCTGAAGGGAGAAGGCCGCCGACCAGCTGCCCAGGGTTCCGGCCTCTGTGCGCAATTGCGGAAGTGCGCTGGCCTCGGGGGTGACCGATTTCCGGCCAGTGGTACTGCATTGGCTGCCTGGGGACGTGTAACGGACGGTGGGCCGCAGCCATGGCCGAGAGGAAACCTAACGGTGGCAGCGGCGGCGCCTCCACCTCCTCGTCGGGCACCAACTTGCTCTTCTCCTCCTCGGCCACGGAGTTCAGCTTCAGCGTGCCCTTCATCCCAGTCACCCAAGCCGCCGCTTCGCCGGCCTCCCTGCTCTTGCCCGGAGGTAGTCAGGGGAGGGCGGTCTCGTGCGCGAATGTGTGCGGGGAGGCGGGCGGGGGCGCGCGGTGACGGGGCCGGAAGGGAGATCTTCCTTCTGCCTCGACCCACCCTGGGGGGAGCTTGCCAGCGCCCTCAGTGGCTAGGCTGGAGTGGGCCGGGGGCTTTGGGGTCTTGGAGGCGGGGCCAGGTGATGCGGCTGTCGCTTCGTAGGAGGAGCCCAATATCACGAGTTGTCCGGAGTGCTGGACACTCGTGCGCTGGCATCCGCAGATCTTTGCTGAACCCCTGCTGGTGTGCCGGTGCGGGCACGGAATGCAGATAGATCGGACAGTGGCCCTCTCCTAGGGTATAGTCGGCCGTCTCCCACTAGGAGACTCCTAGGATACAGTAGGATATTTTGTAGGATAGACAGTGCCTCCTCACTCCTACGGTAGACTTGTGCTTGTAATATTTGCAAAGTAGACATATAGAATGCATTCCTCATCTTTCAAGACATCACTTCCTCTAACACACTCTTTCTTGTTCTCTTAGGCCTTCACTCCTATATGCACCCTCTAGCTCTTTGTTTATATCTGTATTATTGTCTGGAGAGATTGCATTTTGATGATTATGTGCCCATAACGCAGAGCATGGTGTTGAGGAACACAGACTGTGTTCCAGTCCTGGCCCTGCCACTGACTTGCTGTGTGACCTGAGGCACGTTACTTCTGTGTGCTTCAGTTTTTATTTATGTACAGCCTCATAGAGCTGTAATAAGAAGTGAATTAATTTTTGTAATTAATTAGCACGAAGTATAGTGCCTGGCATATAGTGTTATGTAAATGTTTATGGGATAAACATATCTGCCTCTCCATTTGGACTGTAGGCTTTTTGAAGTTTGCAGCTATGACTTAATTACTTTTTTTATTTCCAGGATCTTGTAGTGCCTTACACATAAGATGCTCGTGAAATGCTGCATTTTGCCCAGTGAATAATTTATTCTTGCTTGGAGGACTAAGGAAACTTTCATGGAGAAGTGAATAAAGGCGTACTGGAAGCAGCTGTATATGAAGGTTCCCCTTCCCTTGTGTTATGCTTCTCCTTGTGCTTATCACCTCCTGACACGTACACACACATATTTTTTTCTCCTATTACATTACACAGAATGTAAGCTCCATGAAAGCAAGGACTTCGTTTTATTTACTATTATATCCCCAGTGCCTAGAACAGTGCCTGGCATGCAGTAGACCAATTAATTACTCGGTAGATATTTGTTGATTGAATGAAAAGATGGAAATCAGGAATACATATGTCTCATTTTGACAGTGTGGTTGGAAAGTTAGACATTGCCATCTTTAGTGACAAACCAGTCTGGCTGGAGCAGAATGCTGTGGGAAGATGCAGGGATAAATGAGGCTGTTTAAAGGGTCTTCAAATCATCCTGTGCTTCATAAATGTTTGGTTCATGTCCGTCTTCCTTGCTATATAGTATTGAGTTTGTGTGTGTCACTATCAATTAATGCTAAATATTTTCATTGTCTAGTACAGGTTAACTTGCCTGTCCTTAAAAGTCTTGTTTCTTGGAAACAGAGCTTTTTTTTTTTTTTGTGAGAAAATTAATAGTTTTTAGAACTAAAATTCTGTAACATATTTTTCTACCCCTGAAAAAGATTTCATAGTTAGAATCCCATTCAGCTGGTGGTGATAACACCAAGGTCAGGGGTTTGGATCCAGTACTGGCTAGCTGCCAAAACAAACAAACAAAAAAACCCATTCAGAGAATTTCCAGAGACAAAAGAAGAACCCCTGTCCTTGGAAGCAAAAGTTAATCATATCAGTGTAAGAGACACATAGGAAGCAATTTCATACATTCAACAAACATGGGTTGAGCAGTTTCTATTTGTCAGGCCCTGTTCCAGATGTCAAGGAGACGCAAAAAAGCGGACAGCTCTGCCCTCAATGACTGCACAGTATATATGTATAGACAAATACTTACCTTTATAAGCAGTGGTGATCCAGGGTTGGAACAACTAGAAAGAGAGATTGATAGGCTACTGTGAACGCTATGGGTCTCAGGCTGGCTGAGTGGGGAGAGGATGTCTCTCAGGCCTTCACAGCCTCACAGGAGAGATGAAGCTTGAGCTGAGTGTTGAAGGATACATAGAAATGAGAGAGTCTGGAGAAAAAGGTGTACGTAAAAGTCTGGAGGTGTGAGAAAACCTGCAGGTTGACAGTGGTGGTATGTGGCAGGGATGGACCTTTTCCCACTTTCCTCTCCCCTCCTCCCTGCACCTCCCAGTAGATCACTGTGACTAGAGTGTGTGCAGGAGAGTGACTCCAGTGTTCTATGGTCCTCATATACCATGCTTGGGAGTTTGTAGTTCATCCTATAGAGTATGGGGGAGCCTTTGAAGGATTTGAAACAAGGTAATAAAATTAGAGGTGTGTTTCAGAAAGACTTTGTTTTCTTAGATTGCACTGGAATAAGGCTGACTATAGCAAGAGTGGTCAGTCTGGAGGCCATCATGAGGCAGGTAGGAATGGATGACACTCTAGCCCAAGTCATCCATGTTGGGTATGAAGAACAGGGAACAGATATGAGAGATTTTTAGACTAAAATTGTAGGGACTTAGTGACTCATGGAGGCCAGACTGTTAGCTCTGTCTGTCAGCAGAGGCCCTTTCTTGTTCAGTTTTAGCCCAGGACTGAGCTCTGTGCCTGGCACATAATGGGTACTTTGTAAGTCTTTCTTGAATGAGTATCTGAATGATCAAATGAAGACTTTGAGGGAGAGGAAGGAGTCCAAGAAAACTGAGGTTTCTGGTTTGAATGGATATATGTTGGCAAACATCTGTTGAGGTGGTGAGACATGGTAAAAGGCGCTCAGGGGGCAGTTAAGATAATAAATACAGTTTTAGGCTTACTAAGTTTGAGGTATATGTGTCTGAGTCTGCCAAAAGTATTGAGGAAGTAGTTGGAAATAGTTTCTGGAACACATGAGAACTGTTTGGATTTGAGACAGTGTTGGGAGTGTCACAAGTATACAAGTGCTCCTGAAGGTCGTGGGATGAAATTAGAAGGTGTCCCTGAAGTGGGATGAACAGTATGTTGAGATCAGTATTTCATTTGCAATTGATGCTGATCAGAATAAAAGTTTCTTGGACCAGCTTGATCTCATGTTCTTTTAAAGATACCACAGAGGTTTTTCCCATGCTTTTAATTTTTGGGAGATAGACTAAGAAATTCAGAGTCCAGGTGAGATTCATGGGACTGAAAACAAGGGTGGGAACTGTAAATATATCATAAAAGTAGAATGATAGAAGCAGACAAAGGGCCTTGTGCAAGAATTGATATTTTATTTTTAGCTACAAAGAAATGAGAGGAGTATTTTGAATAGTTGAGTATCTTAAATTGATGTGTGTGAAATATATTGGGAGCAACCTAGAAGTGCAAGCCAGAATCTCTGCAAACCCAGTGGCCTTCTTCAGCAGAGGTAAAGAAAGAGCCAGGAGCTTGAAAGAGGGCCACTGCTTGGCAGGTCTCCCAGGGCAGGGACCATAGAGTGCTTGTGTGCTGGGAGTGGGCCCTGCCGCTGATAGGCTCCGTGCCTGCAGCAGTAGGAGGCAGAGGGAATGATACAGGAGAGGGTAAGAGAAGGAGGAGGAAGATGAAAGCTATATAAGGCTCTTAAAAGTTTAGTAAGGAAGAGTGGGTTGGACTTTTGAGGTCACGTAGAGGGAAAATGCTTTTATTTTACAAGTTGGTAGCAGAACAGAAGAGAAATTGTTTGGAATTAATAATAACAACAGTAAAGATCAAGTTGGGCAAAGGGAGGTGAGGAGAACTTCACTTGGTTAGAAAATGAGTTTTCTAGTGATTTGGTGTTCTTTAATGACTAATTGTCTGTGATACTGAATGGTTTTAGGGGTGGCAATTAATGATTGACCTACTTTGCCTTGGGAATGCAATAGCCACGTGTTCTTTGTACAATGAGTGCTTTATTGGTAAGAGCCCTGACACACCCCTTCTTGTCAACAGAGTTGTCTGTATTTTAGTTTGTCATCATGACTGTAGAAATAAAATTATGTGTATTTGAGTTGTGGAGTAAGACTTCAGTTATTTCTTACTAGGAAAAAAAAAGCTTCAAAATAATATATAAAAATAGTAGGTATGATTTTGTTTCTATTTTTAAAAACTATTCCTACATGTACATATGTACTTACAAAATACATAATAAATAATTATTTTTATTTAAAAAGTATGGAAGATAGGGCCGGCCCGTGGCTCACTCGGGAGAGTGCGGTGCTGATAACACCAAGGCCACGGGTTCGGATCCTATATAGGGATGGCCGGTTGGCTCACTAGCTGAGCATGGTGTTGACAACATCAAGCCAAGGGTTGAGATCCCCTTACCGGTCATCTTTAAAAAAAAAAAAAAAAAAGTATGGGAAGGGCATGTACCAAAATGTTAACAGTGATTATCTCTGGATGAATTATAAGTTTTCCCTCCTTTTGTTTTTCCTTATTTTTTCTAGTTTATCATTTCAAAGAAAAAAGTTTTCACAGAAAAAAGAGTTCTTTGTTTTTTTCCCTGTAATGCAAGAATATAAGTTTGAGCAGCAAACTGAGGCACAATTGCTAGTTTTTCCTTGTAAAATCCTACCTACAGATAGGCTGGCCCATGGCTCACTCGGTAGAGTGCGGTGCTGATAACACCAAGGCCACGGGTTCGGATCCTATATAGGGATGGTGGGTTTGCTCACTGGGTGAGCGTGGTGCTGACAACACCAAGCCAAGGGTTGAGATCCCCTTACCGGTCATCTTTAAAAAAAAAAAAAAAAAAAAATCCTATCTACAGAATGATAGAGTGCCCTTTTAACTGTTGCTTCCCTGCTCTGTTTCAGAGGATTCCACAGATGTTGGTGAGGAGGACAGCTTCCTTGGTCAGACTAATGTTCACACGTCTACCCCACCGACGTTTAGTTACTTCTCTCAGGTATCAAGCAGCAGTGATCCTTTTGGGAACATTGGGCAGTCACCGTTAACAACTGCAACTGCATCCGTTGGACAATCCGCGTTCTCCAAGCTCCCGACTGCTCTCCCTTTTACAACCGGATCCCAAGATGTGTTGAATGCATTTTCACCATCTGTTTCGAAGGCTCAATATGGTGCTCCACCCTGCTCACAGATGGGAGTAAATACTTACCTGCCTTCTCAGCCAAGCAATCTCCCTCCTTCAAATTTTGGGAGCCCACCCCAAGGAGCTCCCCAACCGGGATACAATCCATATCGCCACACCCCTGTCAGCAGCAGGGCTAATCCTTACATTGCACCACCACAGCTGCAGCAGTGCCAAACACCAGCCCATCCCTCTCCTCCTCCACCATCTGGACCCCCTGTTCAGATGTACCAGACGCCTCCAGGATCTCTGCCACTGGTATGGAGACATGTTTTTATGTCGTAGTTATTCACTCTAATTTTTTTTCCTCCCTCTCACCTTAGCCGGTGTTTTAAAAAGCATCATGTGTTTAATAACCAATATGATGACAAATTATTTTCAGAGGGTATTCTTTGTAAGCCACATGCTTTAAAGTAAATTTTTTTTTAAAGGTAGCTCATTGGATGACTCATATTTTAGTTTATATTACATGATTACTGAAGTAGTTAATTGATTTTAATGAGTTAGCTACTACATGCCAGTAATTCCAGATTTTAGTGTAAGATACCAATAATAAATGTCATATAGGGACGTGTGGGAGTAATAGTAATTATTGTCTTAACAGACTGCCAGCTTCTCATTTTTTAATAATACGATTCAATCAGAACACTCAATTACAGGGACTAAAATTGATTACTACAGTACTTTTATTTTTATTTATGGAGTTTGGATCTAAACAGTTAAACTCTATCTCAAGGTGGGTGATGGAATGACATTTGCATTGGGTGAATTTTATGAAATTCCCTTATGCTTTTTTCCTGACTAATTGTTCAACTGACTTCCAAAGAGAAATTAACTGAATCAAAAAAAAAAGGGGGGGGGGGCAATAAAAAAGAAGAAATAAAAACCCAACCCACTGTGGCAGAGATAGAGTATTGTGATCAGAGTGTAACTTAACTTCTCTCTTAGAGATCGAGAGTGGGCTCTGTTTTACTGTTTATTTTAAATCATAACTCCCTGTACCAGAGAGCTGCCCCCCCAAAATAAGTAAATAAGTAAAAACCCAGTAAATCATACCAATACACAGATTCTTGACAATGTTGGATTTTTTTTTTTTTTTTTTTTTTAAAGATGACCGGTAAGGGGATCTCAACCCTTGGCTTGGTGTTGTCAGCACCACGCTCAGCCAGGGAGCAAACCAGCCATCCCTATATAGGATCTGAACCCGTGGCCTTGGTGTTATCAGCACCGCACTCTACCGAGTGAGCCACGGGCCGGCCCGACAATGTTGGATTTTAGCATATTGAAAAGTAACCAGATTTCATAGCATGTGGTATAGGTAGTATTTTTGCTAACTACAGCAAACTAATTATATTATTCTGATTAATTTTTTTAAGATTTTAATTAAGAATTAAAAAAAATAATTTCAAATTTAAAGGAAAGTTGCATAATAAAAATAGCACAAAGAACACCCTTAAATCCTTTGCCCAGATTTACCTATCATTAACATTTTGTTCCGTTTGTTTTTTAAAGTGTGCGTGTGACACTGGCATGTTTGAGTCCTTGCTCACTCTCTGTATCTCCCCCTTTCCCCCCACCCTCTCTCTCTCTCTTTCTCTCTCTCTCTCTCCTTCTCTCCTTCCCTCCCTCCCTTTCTTTCTTTCTCAGTAAATTTGACATTGATATAACACTTCAAAATGATTTTTATTAAAAAAATTTAAAAGTAATTGTGTTCTGATTTTACTTTATTTTTTGGCAGCTGGCTGGCGTGGAGAAACCCTTGACCTTGGTGTTATAACACCATGCTCTAACGAGCTGAGCTAACTGGCCAGCACTGTGTTCTGATTTTAAAAGCATTTTCCTTGTAGAAAATTTGAAAAATGTAGAATAACCAAATTAATAACATTGTTTGTAGATACCCACTGTTTTCATTTTGTTACATGGCTTTCTTATCTTCTTTATAGGTAAACATCATATAATACCTAAGATTTTGTGATCAATTTTTTTTTTTTTTTTTTTTTTTTTTTTTTGTCTTTTTTCCGTGTCCGGCAACGGATCGCAACCCTCAGTGTTGCCCCCGTACCGGACCGGGGACCGGCAACGGGATTGCAAGCCTCGGCGTTGCTCCCGCGCCTCGCTCAGCCAGCGAGCGGGAACCGGTCTGTATGTGGGATCCGAACCCTCGGGCGGGAGCGCCCCCGCGCTTCCCAAGCGGCGCACCATCCAGTGCGCCACCGGGCCGGCCCTTGTGATCCATTTTTTATGAACATAGTTTAAATGTTAAGCTTTTTTTCTAAAACTTTTTAATGGCTCTAGAGAATTCCAGTATTTGAGTGAAATAGAATTTATTTAATCAGGTTTCTGTTAGACATTTACATTGTCTCTGGTAGTTTTCTGTTTTAAATAACTCTTTGGTGTACCTTCTTGTAGGTACATTTTTTTTTTTTTTTAAAAGATGACCGGTAAGGGGATCTTAACCCTTGACTTGGTGTTGTCAGCACCACGCTCAGACAATGAGCGAACCGGCCATCCCTATATGGGATCCGAACCCGTGGCCTTGGTGTTATCAGCACTGCACTCTCCCGAGTGAGCCACGGGCCGGCCCCATTGTAGGTACTTTTTTACTTGTGTAATTATATCTTTAGGATTTCTTAGAAATGGAATGGCAGGGCCAAAGGATATGTACATTTAAAAGGTTAAATAACTCATGGGAGATGTATAGCTTGATTGATTTCTATAAAGGTGTTAGTTTACTTTGCCATCAGCGTGAGAAAGTCTAGTTCACTTTGCAACTAATTTGGGGTTTTATTAGATTAAAAAAATTTTTTTAATTGCTTTAAGGTCTACTTTTGCAAAATTGTTGTCCAGAAATATATGTAAAATAATTATTACTAATGTCAGTTTGGATCTAAGCATGTACTAGATTGTTCTTTTGGACAAGCATGACAATCTTCACTTTGTTGTTCCCTCTAGATTCCTCCTTCAGCGCAGTCACCAACACAGCAGCAGGTACTTGCTAGACCTGCAAGTCCCTCTGTACAGGTACCATCTCCTTTTCTACTTCAAAACCAGTATGAACCTGTTCGGCCCCACTGGTTTTACTGCAAGGAGGTAGAATACAAACAACTATGGATGCCTTTTAGTATGTTTGACTCTTTGAATCTTGAAGAAATATATAATTCAGGTAAGTACTGATCATGCATCATTTGTATTTGATTATAAAAGAAAAGAAATGAAGAGTATTTTTATCTATGCCCTATTTTTTGTTAGTGTCAAAATCCTTAATTCTGGGCCGGCCCGTGGCTCACTCGGGAGAGTGTGGTGCTGATAACACCAAGGCCCTGGGTTCGGATCCCATATAGGGATGGCCGGTTGGTTCACTGGCTGAGCATAGTGCTGACAACACCAAGTCAAGGGTTAAGATCCCCTTACTGTTCATCTTTAAAAAAAAAAAAAAATCCTTAATTCTGACCAGAATCCTTAATTCCCACCAGACTCTGTACCTTAATTTGGTGATATTAATATAAGTCCTGAGTTATTTGAGCAAGGCATTTGAAGAAATGTTTTAGTAATTTCCTTCTTTGTTTAAAGGTGTTTTATTTATTTATTTTTTTCCCTTTTTTTTGGTCTTTTTTTTACTGACTGGTAACGGGATCGCAACCCTTGGTGTCGTGCCCGTACCGGGGACCGGCAACGGGATTGCAACCCTCGGTGTTGCGCCCGCACCGCGCTCAGCCAGTGAGTGGGAACCGGTCTCCACATGGGATCTGAACCCTCGGCAGGAGTGCCGCCGCGCTCCCAAGCGGCGCACTCTCCAGTGCGCCACCGGGCTGGCCCTAAAGGTGTTTTAAATAAGAGAAGTAAAGTAGTTCATATAATCCAGGTTTCAATTTTCCTGTTTCCCTTACTCATTTGTAGTTGTGGGGGCATTTAAAAAGCATTTTCTGTGAACTCTCGTTCCTGGTGACGCTTTGTGGAGAAAGTGTTCTATGGTCAGATGAGTTTTGGAAATGGTAGTCGTTGCATCCACCTCTTGAGAGAGACAGTCCACAGTGTGTTAAAGCTCAGAGGAGTCTTGCAGTGCAGTTTCTTTGTTGAAGAATGTTATTTGATCATGTGACTTAAAAATCACCTGTTAATGTCTTTTGGAAACATACTTCATGGAGCATTGCTGTATGTAGATATTACTGCTTTCATTAGAAACATATCCACTGGTTATTCAAATTATTTTATGATTTTTTTTTAAAGTTTGCCCACGCTGTTTTTTTCTACTTAAGAAGAGTCATAACTTTGAGCAGCACAGATTAATCTCAAACTTCTGTTTCTAAATAAATGTGAGCTTAGTTCTTTGTCTTTAAGGATTGACTAGTCACATATCTGTTATTTATTATTTTAAAATATGCCTGGTAACAGTTGGGGGAAATGTGGTTGTTCTCTAGTCCAGCCAGACCCTGAGAGTGTGGTTCTTGGCACGGATGGCAGGCGCTATGATGTTCACCTCTATGACCGAGTGAGGAAAGCTGTGTACTGGGAAGAGGATCCAGCAGAAGTGAGACGCTGTACTTGGTTTTACAAGGGGGACACAGATAGCAGATTTATTCCCTACACAGAGGAGTTCAGTGAAAAACTTGAGGTAGGATGCTTTATTCCTTTATGCTTTTCTTTAAAACATGTAGGCAATGTGTACTGTATATTGGAGCCTCATGTAACAACACTCACAATGGAACTGACTTTATTTACAAGACAGCCTGTCTTGATGCTGTTCACAAAGAAGATTGCTTTTTTAACTGGTGCCATCATTCATGAGGTGCTAATCATGGGCTCCATGCCTAAAGATAGATGTTTTTCAGGAGCACATCACAGATCTAATAAGGTGCTTGTATCAGACCTTCAAAAGACCTTAGTCTGCTGGAATTTGTTTTTGACAACAGATACGAAGCATAGGGACGTTTTCAAATTAATATTCAGTAAAAGGCTTGAAATTACTCTCTGATTTGTAAAAATAAATATGAAACAGAATAGAAAGAAACGTCATGAGACTTAGCCACCTTAAAGCTGGCAATGTTGTTTATATAATTGTGTTAATTTCTTGTGATAATTCTGTGTAATAATTGAGTATTAAATATTTGGAATAAGTTAAATGAATTCAATTGCCTACATGGGAAATGAGATATAAAACATTTTAATTAAATGCTTTTAATGTAGTAGTTCTTAAAACTTGTTTAAACAACATTACCATTAAAAGGGGTCTTTAAAATGTTAATTGTCGCTAGGTTCGTATTTTGAATAGTTAAGCCACCCAGTTCGTGGTACTTTGTAAGTTATGCAGCCCAGGGAAACTAGTAGACTGGCTATACCTTGGTTTTCTTCTCTATATAATGGGAATAATATTTAGGGGTGATACCTACTTAAATGAGGTAGTGTATATAAGGTGATTTAAAAAAGTATAGTAATCAGGGCTGGCTGGTTAGCTCAGTTGGTTATAGCAGGTTGTTATAACACCAAGGTGTTCTGGCCAGTGCCAAAAAAAAAAAAAAAGTATTGTAATCAATTAGTAAATGAGAGCTGCTATTACTGTTATTTTTTCACCGTCATAGTTATTTTCCTCCTCACTTTCTCTAAGTGTGATATAGATTTGTCATATTGTTTTTATGTTCTTCCCATTATAGGCTGAATATAAAAAAGCTGTAACCACGAATCAGTGGCACCGCAGATTAGAGTTTCCAAGTGGAGAGACAATTGTTATGCACAATCCAAAGGTAATGATGCTGTTTAAGATATTAAAATGTTAGGGGCCGGCCCGAGGCTCACTCGGGAGAGTGCGGTGCTGGTAACAGCAAGGCCCTGGGTTCGGATCCCATATAGGGATGGCCGGTTAGCTCGCTGGCTGAGCGTGGTGCTGACAACACCAAGTCAAGGGTTAAGATCCCCTTACTGGTCATCTTTAAAAAAAAAAAAAAGATATTAAAATGTTAGGTTCATTTTAGTAATTATTTTGCTGTATGTGTTTGATAAATGTTCATTTTTAGTAACTTCCGTAGTGGGGATATATTTATAACGAGTGCATTGCTTTTAAAATAGTTTGCTATAGTTCACATTGATCATGGAAACAAAAGCAATTTAAATTTTTTTTTTTTTTTTTTTTTTTTTTTTTTTTTTTTTTTTTTTTTTT